GCTAAGAGTGAATTCAAGCCCTGCTTTCTCCGCAAAGAACCTCATCATCAATACTATCCGCCAAAATGACGGATGAATTTGCACCAAGGTAACCTGTTACTTTCGACAAAAGTTGAGCACAACCCTATCAAGTGGGGCCAACATAAAAGGGTACGTGTACACGTTCAAAAACCCCTCAGCATGGTTCATGATGCTCTCCTCCGGGGAAGGTACCCGCAGTACTACCTCTTCACCCCATCCACAATCCTTCCTCGCCCACTCAAGAAGATCCCCCCTCAAAACAGAGGCGGAACTCCCTTCTCTTTGCCGAGCGGACCCTGATGTAGCAGCCATGACTATGGTAAAATTAAGGAATTGGAGCGAGAATTTGAGCAAGGGCGTCAAAATTAAAATTATGGAGGACCTAACACAGGAAAGGAGAACTCTATAAAAGAGAATAACTACTCAGAATAGCGAAATCTTCAAATGAGCGAAAACAATCCTATATATGGAAAAAGCGGCGACTATCCGCCTGCCTCAAAAGCCAATTAAAAATACTGGCTAAAGCTTTTATCGCTTTAGGAAGATGTGCCGGCAGGATGGCCTTGGTCATTTCGTAACAATGTCATACACTTGACGTCGCCATACGACGTTTTGGGGTCAGAGACCCCTGCATCAACCAAGCCTCGAGATGGTACCCGATTTCGAAGGACTCCGTCAAAAATAAGAAAGGGCTCTAAGGAGCCATCAGTATATTTATAGGCCTCGAGATGGTACCCGATCTCGAGGATCTCCGTCAAAAAGAAGAAAGGCTTTAAGGAGATATCGATGTCATTGCAGGCCTCGAGATGGTACCCGATTTCGAGGACCTTCACCAAAAAGAAGATAGGCTCCAGGAAGCCATTTGCATAATTGCAAGTCCCGAGATGGTACCCGATCTCGAGGACCTCCACCAAGAAGAAAAAAGGCACTAGGAAGCCAATGACATCACTACACGTCCCGAGATGGTACCCGATCTCGAGGACCTCTACCAAAAAGAAGATAGGCTCTAGGAAGCCATTTGTATCCTTGCAAGTCCTGAGATGGTACCCGATCTCGAGGACCTCCACCAAGAAGAAGAAAGGCTCCTGGAAGCCAATGACATCACTACACGTCCCGAGATGGTACCCGATCTCCAGAACCTCCACCAAAAAGAAGATAGGCTCCAGGAAGCCATTGGCATCACTACACGTCCTGAGATGGTACCCGATCTCCAGAACCTCCACCAAAAAGAAGATAGGCTCCAGGAAGCCATTGGCATCACTACACGTCCTGAGATGGTACCCGATCTCGAGGACCTCTACCAAGAGGAAGATAGGCTCTAAGGATCCATTAATATCATTACGAGACTCGAGATGGTACCCGATCTCGAGGACCTCTCTCAAAAAGAAGATAAGCTCTAAAAACCTACTCATATGGGCTTGGCCTCGAGGTACCATCTAAACCCAGGAAAGACCTCATCCGGGGTCTATCTGCAATGCCTTAAGGCTATCTACACTGAGTTCAAAACAAGTTTCCAGGTAGCCCGAGCTTGAGCGAACCCCCACTCGGGGACTGCTCCCGAAATCCTAAAGGCTACCTTTATTCTCAGGCATCCGAGCAAATCCCCCCATCGAGGACTATCGTGGGGTCTAAAAGGCTGAATCTCATACTGAAGTTTGAAACCCTACTCTTATTCAACTTGAAGTCAGGGATCCCGACGACCCGAGTTTATCAATCCAATCCGGGCTCAGTCCAAGGAATGGTAAAAGGGTTCTACGGGGAATCATGTTAATCAATCAAGAGCCAGAAAAAATACTTGCGCCCGGGCTCGATTTCGCACCAATTGGTGGAGTCGTGCATTTAGATTCTTCACAAACGCAGATAAAAGGAAATATAGCATAAATCAGAAACAAGTTGAAGAAACATCTTTATATTTATAAACATATTTTACAAAAGCCCACGAAGGGTCCTTAAATATGATTTATGCTATATTTCCTTTTATCTTTGTCTTTATAAGCATATTTTACAAAAGCCCACGAAGGGTCCTTACATATGATTACAAAAGCCCACGAGGGGTCCTTACACAGAAACAAAGAAGCAAAAAATATACATATAGTAAAAGCCAAGAGCCTAATCTATTCTCGGGGGTGCATCCTCGGCGGCAGTATCTTCGAGCACCATCTCCTCGGGGGTCTCATCTCGGTCTTCCAAAATGGTGTCTTCAAGGGAGAAGATGAAGAAGAGGAAAGTGAGAAGATAAAGAAGAGGAAAGTGATGAAGAAGAAGCACAAAAAGATGAAGAAAAAGCCATAGCCGCCAAAGAGCAAAAGCTTTTACCAGGCCAAGAAGATCATGACCCGATAGAAGACTTGGCGAGCGTCGGCCTTACAAAAGCTTTTACCAGGCCAAGAAGATCATGACCCGATAGAAGACTTGGCGAGCGTCGGCCTTACCTGCACGGCTACTTTGAGTCCACTTCTTGGAACATTGTGCCGTGCAAGTTAGCGGCCGGTAGCGCCACTTCACCCCACGAAAAGCAAAAGGGATGAAGTGCCACACTAGGCCAGAGTAGGGAGGTGAGCAGCGGTGTAAAGTCCGAACATCCTCCTGAGCAGCGGTGTAGAGTCCAAATATCTTCCTGAGTCGGAATAAATCGGCACCCCTATCTCATCGCCTCGAGCCAACGACGACAACAATAGCAACAACAACAACAACAACAACAAGAAGTCAGTGCCATCTCGCTCGGTAAGGGAAAGCCCTAGAAAAAGGCCATGGTGTGACTGATAAGAACTCCGCCATGTAACCTTAAGGCCACGTGCCTCAAGCATGGGAAATACCAATGGATGAAGATGAAGAGAAGGAAGGGGTGAAAGGCTGTTAGAGAACATTTGAATGAAGAGTTGGTTCAAGAAGGTCTCCATTTATAGAGAGGGTGGCAGCGTAACCGACGGAGCCATCAATGTCTTTGAAAGACGTATCAGCATGCACAATCAATGCGCTTTTGGGAACTGGGCCGGCGGCGACATTATCGCTTTGAAAAATAAGAATAGGCAATGCATTGAATGATTCTGGAAAGATGAACCGACGGGACGCCTCGGTTATCACAAAGGCTCACATCATAAGTATGACATCATCATGAGAAGATCGAAGAGATGGATATCGAAGTCATTTCTTATCGTTCCACTCTAAGAAACATGAGGACTATCTGTATACAGTAAAATCAGAAGATCGAATTTCCCATCATTGCGATGCTTCGTCGGCACGTTTTCAAAAGCTCGAGGCTATGGTTGAGACTCACCCCAAGGGGATATCAACTCCCGACCTCGGGCAATATAGATCAGCGGTTATGGTGAAGAAGTTGGAAGTTCCCAAGGCGCGTAGCTAGAGCCGACAAAGTCTGTCAGGCTAGTCTAAGCCCGCATCATAGCATTAACTGGCTGTACCAGCTCCATATCTTTATAATAAATGTATTTGTACTATGTTGGGATTCCCCCTCATATATAAAGGGGATCCTTCTCTCTGCTCTCTAACATATTCTCTTGATCTCATTACTTCCATTTATTGCTTATATTCATTGTGTTCTATCTATTGTTATTCATTTATTGCTTATCATTGATCATAAAGAGCCATCATTTTAGCTCTTATAACTGTTAGTCCTCCCTCGGTCGCCCTAAGCCGGCCACCGAACTCGACCTCAAGGCCTCATGTATGACAGCTCGAGGCCCGATCTCCAGTTGTCCGGTTTGATTATCATATCATCTCTAAGCTATAATCTTGCCTTCTAATCTCTTACTTAGCATCCATTGCCTAACAACTAGCATAAAAATAGATCACGTATTTTTAGAACCACACAATCAAATTTAATTGTTATTACCATTTTCACGGTAAACATGAAGAACAACAAATAGAACACAATGAATATAAGCAATAAATGCAAGTAATGAGATCAAAAGAATATGTTAGAGAGCAGAGAGAATGTTCTTGTATATTCAATATCAAGCATCAGATCCTTTACAAAATGACAAGGGTCTCCTTTATTTATGAGGGGGAATCCCAACATAGTACAAATGCATGTGTAATTATTACATAAAATAGCTGGTACAACTACTCACTCAGCCTGGTGTAGACTGTCACTGTTTGCGCAGGCGTTTGTCAGAAAATACAGCTCCTAGGGAACTTCCCATTTATCTGCGACAAACACCGGTCCATTCTGCCCCGATATCGGGCGCGAAGACTCCCCGAAGGCATCGAACTCTGGGCTATCCTCCGGGACCTTCGAGGTGAGATTGCGCAATGCCTTGCCGACCGTAAAATGGGTCTTCCCGATTTTAGCCGTATACAATTACCACAGGACGATATAATACAAGCTAAAAGTCAACATAATTTATATTATATTAAAAGCACGAAACCCCTTAGCGAAAATATCATTCATTTTTTTTTACCTTTTAAAATTTAATTTTATACTAGACAAAATAGTCCTTTGTTTATTTCCCTAATAGTTAAAACTTTAAAATTACTATATACTGTTTGTCAGTTTTTCTTTCTTTAATATTTTTCTCTTAATTTATGCCTACACATTTCTACATATTAATTCTCCTTCTACTATCTCTTTCCACAAAAAAATATGAACAAAGCCAAAAATTATTTATCTGGAAAAAAATAAACTTTTCTTCAAACTAGAGATATATAAAAAAAATTGTTAAAGTTTTATTCATGTCAATACATTTAAGCTGAATATATCTATCAAGATGACGAAGAATTATATGGGACCTAATTTCTTCTTTATTGAGTTAGTTAAATAAGATTAACTATTATTATTTTCAAGAACTTACACTTTAACTTTTAAATAATTTTTATGTAACTCAAATATAATTTTTAATATAATAGCTATATGATCTTTTAAAGTATGTATTGATGGAGATTGGGGTGCGTAACTAAAGACTAGTAGATAAAATAACCAAGAAAGCAAATTTCACTGGTCTTAAAATGGGATATGCCATTGATCAAGGGGAGGAACACCAAACACCTTTATCTATTAGAGTGCAAATACAATAAAGAAAAAAGTAGCACTGTGTTCCGGTTCTTTGGGATGGAAGATAATCTCAGGTCTTGATACACTTCCACAACAGAAATCAAATTCCAAAGAGAGCAACTCAACAATCAAGGTTGGTTGAAGTGCAAGTACTGGGCAGAATCCCAAAAAATGGGATATGCAATTGATCAAGGGGAGGAACACCAAACACCTTTATCTATAGAGTGCAAATACAATAAAGAAAAAAGTAGCACTGTTTTTCGGTTCTTTGGGATGGAAGATAATCTCAGGTCTTGATACACTTCCACAACAGAAATCAAATTCCAAAGAGAGCTACTCAACAATCAAGGTTGGGTGAAGTGCAAGTACTGGGCAGAATCCGAAAAGAATTTACAAGGTTGACTGGAAAGCACTAGGCAGCCAAAAGAAAACAGAAGCCGCAAAGTCTACAATTTAAAACCATAACGCTTTTAGTTATTGCCAGAACTAATTCTTGAATGCTTCAGCTCCACAAGTGAAAAGGCCAAAGCAGCAACAGAGTAGTTAATGGATTAGCTTCGTTGAATCCACTGCAATATATCCGGTCGGATCACTCCCTCAAAACCATGTTTCGCAAGATTCATGCCTTTGAAACTAGCTGGCAAGACAGTTTTGAACTGCCTGCACTGGATGCTTGTTCCAGCAGGGCTTCTTGGTTTGATCATCATAGAAATGGTTGGATAGGCTTTCTGCCATGTGTTCCTCCCTGAGGTAAACAGATGCCTGCTGCTGGATCCCTTATCCTGGCCAGCACCATATTTCTGGAATCCCTCCGGCTTTGGGGAGTGAGATGATTTCCTAAGCTGCTTACTTGCGCTCGTAATTACATTGCTATCTGAGGGATTTCCTCGAATATTAGCTGATGGCTTCATTTTATCAAGCCAACGAAGGATCCAATTCCCAAGATTCTTACCAGCTTCAATATCTCTTTCTTGTATCTTGCGATGAATGGTCAGTGCCATGTCAAAGGCAGCTCGTGTTCGCCTGGAAAAGAAAGAAACAATTTATAACAATATTACAACCAACAAAGCAGCCAAAATGGTAGAAAAGATCATGAGCAAGCATCCCACAGCAGGGAATAACCATTTTTGGCTAATTTGGACAAGTTGCAGTCACGGGTTCGAACCGTGGAAACAGCCTCTTGTAGAAATACAGGGTAAGACTGCGTACAATAGACCCTTGTGGTCCGTCCCTTCCTCGGACCCCGCGCATAACGGGAGCTTAATGCACCGAGCTGCCCCTTTGGACAAGTTGCAGTCACCAGAAAACATCTTAATTTTTTTTTTAAAAGGTGAGAATGTTATATGAAGCAGAGTGTTGGCCTGTCAAGAACTCTCATATTCAGAAGATGAAGGTAGCAGAGATGAGGATATTGAGGTGGATGTGCGGGCACACTAGAACGGATAAGATTAGGAATGAGGATATTCGGGAGAAGGTGGGCGTGGCCCCTGTGGATGACAAGATGCGGGAAGCGAGGCTCAGATGGTTCGGGCATGTGCGGAGGAGAAGCCTTGATGCTCCGGCGAGAAGGTGTGAGCGGTTGGCTTTGGTGGTTACGAGAAGAGGTAGAGGGCGACCTAGGAAGTATTGGGGTGAGGTGATCAGGCAGGACATGGCACGACTGCAGATTTCCGAGGACATGACCCTTGATAGGAAGGTCTGGAGGTCAAGCATTAGGTTTGTAGGCTAGGGGATAGTCAAGCTTTCTCTTCTTCATACCAGGGGTGAGGCGGGTTTGATAGGGTTGATCTTAGATGGTTAGGGGTTAATGTTGAGTCCACACTATCCTTTCTGATTATCATAGCCCTGAGCCTTAATTACTAGGTATTGTTATTGGATGTCATCTATTTTATGGTTTTTATGCTTCTATTACTATTTATATGGTTTCTGCTGACGTTACTGATGAATTGTCTCTTCTTGATTTACTTCCGCCTTCCTGAACCGAGGGTCTATCGGAAACAGTCTCTCTGCCCCATCGGGATAGGGATAAGGTCTGCGTACACACTACCCTCCCCAGACCCCACTTTGTGGGATTTTACCGGGTCGTTGTTGTTGTTGTTGTTGTTGTATACTTCGTGCAAATCAGTTGAATACATTGGTGAATTTGATTCCATAAAGCAATAACAAAGCTGGGATTCAGAAGGGAATGATCGATTAAATTAAGAGAAACCCAGAGAAAAAGGATGGTGTGCATCAGTTGCCAGCATGATGGAGGTATTGTGGTAATGAGGCATCATGGCCGAACCAACATGGGAATTGATCAAGACTTATGAGTGAGATGAAGGCTGCTGACTTAAGCAAGATCTTGGTGGGCAAAGCATAAATTGCACTTAGTAATTGATACAAGAGTGCTGTTGAAAGAGAATCTCTGGCAAAGAAGAGAATTGAAAAAACGGAACAAGAATTATGAGAAAGAGAAAAGAAGAATAAAAGGAAACTGTGGAAAAGAAAACTCTGAAGGCAGAAACAAATGGGAAAAAGCAAAAGAATAAGATTGTCATGGAAGACACTCTGACGATGCTATTTAGCAACTAACAATCTTTAGTCTCATTAATGCATGAACTAGAGAGAGTTCTGCTTCCATATTAACCAGACACTAGTTCGTACAGTATACCNGGGGGGGGGGGGGTTTAAATGTGGTTCATTTGGTCATTGATATACTACCTACCAACTCGTGACAATCAACTAGTAGAAGATTTTGATGAAGAGGAATATGGAGAAATTCTTTCTCCATATGTAAAAGTACTACACTCTTTAGCATCTATATGTTAACTTTTAAGTTTATGCTTCTTCGCTGTATTAGCCTACATTTATGCAACGCTTTGTTAATATCCTTGCATCTTGAACATAAAAGCATTGGATAATCCAACACCTCAAGAAGCACGCATGCCTAACATGACTACAAAAATCAAAGGTAATCTACACCCAGTTTTGCATATTTAAGTGTAACGTGCTCAACTACCACATACGTCTATTATCAGCTACAAGAATATTTAACAAACAACTTTTGCAAAGAGAACAGACAAGCAGATATTCCAGTCCCATTGCTAATAGAAAATTTATCTTCACAAAATTCAAGGAACAAAAGAAAGACGATGCACATGTAACGATCTTATTCGAACAAGATTGTCAAATGTCAGGTAGACAGACTGAAAAATGGAACACTAGTCCAACATCACCACTTACTGGAAGAGTGATCATATTAAGCACGAAGAGATACTTTCTTCAAGAATTGGGGATAATGTCTAGTATTTTATAAACATCGAAAATCCATATGAGCAATATTCAAACAAATAAGAAAAGCATCAAAATACAGAAGTCGGAATAGCAGATGTTTGCCATTCTATTTATGAGAAGATGACAATCCTTGTTGCTGAGAATGGCTAACAGCAGAAAGATGCATGGGACGGGTATCATGTCACAAAAGTAATTGGGAAAAAGAAGCATAAACTACTGATAATTGAAGAACCAGCACCGCAGAGCTAAGACGAAATAAAAAGTTGATGAAGACAAAACTATCAAAAGAAGCAGCAAGATCATATTCCAGCTTAGCCACCTAAGAGAAGTGATCCTCTCACGCAACACTTTGATTTGCAGTACCGACTAATCACCAGGATTTACAGAACCTATGCCAGAAATGAAATTGCATATGCATTCGGAATGGGCCCCAAAACTGGATACTAGACTTTGTTTTTTAAAACATCATCCAAAACACCATACTGTTTCTATTATTTAATCCATCAAACAGGAATTAGTGTTGCTACATCTTATTCGCTGATACATTTCTCTCTGAATTACTTTAATCATAGTAACTCCAATTAGTGTTACCCTAACTATCATTGTCTTAGAATGACAAATCATTTAGCCACGAAAAGGGAATCATTACAAATGACAATAATATTAAGATCTAATTGAAATCAAAAAGTACCTTTGAGCGAAAGCACGAAGCCTGGGGTGATTGGGAGTAATGAGCTTACGCTGAATCCTCAAGAAGAGCTTGTAAGTTCGTTTCAGACCCAAGAAATACGCCGTTGCCAATGTGATCTCCCATAGCACCATTCTCTCTCTTTCTCTACAACTTTCTTCAGGAAAGAATATCCAAATGAGAAAAGAGCATATTATGTTTGCTTGTGCTTTCTCTTCTTCTTCAATATGTATATTATGACTATATAGTGAACCGTTTTCGTTTTCAACAAGACCAAAAAAAGTCGTGGAATTCTGGGGAGCCGCCAGCATTTTCTCCCTTCTCTGCCTTTCTCTCTAATATATTTTGGGCCAGTTTTGGGCCACGATATGTATGTTTTATAGCAAATGAGATTGACCCAGCCTATTATTTCGTTTTAGTTCCATAGTGAATGCTTTTGTTTTCTTTTGATGGTCCAATTGAACACAAACTCTATCTACAATTTAAACTTTCAACAACACAATTTGATATTGCAACTTCTCAACCAAAATTCATCCGATTAATTTTGGATTTTAAGTTACATGAACTGAGGGTCGTTTGATTGGTGGACAAATTATGCCGGAATTATAATGACGAAATATTTGCAACATATTTTCTTCAAAAGGAGATTCATATTCACCGCCCCAATTACTTCGGAGAGCCAACCACAAGAACTGTTGTTTGTATCACAATAGAGCTAGAATTAATAAATGGTGAAGTTTTTAATCTTAAATCAATCTGACACATTCAGGATTAATAAACGGTGAAGTTTTTAATCTTAAATCAATCTGACACATTCAGGATTAATAAACGGTGAAGTTTTGAATCTTCTAAGCGAATAATAAATTGGAGTAGAAAATCACTAAGATTTTAATCTCCAAAACGAATATAAAGTCACTAAGACTATAATTTCCGACAAATGAGTAGAAAACAACGAAGTCTTTAATCTCAACGAACGAGATTTTCTCGAAGTAGGAGTAGAAAATCAGGAAGATTTTAGTCTCCATAATGGGTGTAAAAAATCACGAGAATTTTAATTCCCTTTCCAAATAATTTTTCAACTAAACCATTATAACACTTTAAACAGTTTGATCTCTTTCTCTAATCAAACACATGTATCTTCATCTTTACATATATTATATTCAGATCTCAAAAATACTCTAAGAATTAGTGTAAGCCTCATACTTACAGTGGAGGCAAATGAAAATAAAGTCACTGGACGAAATTTATTTGAAAGCCACGAATCCAATTGAAACGATCAGTACAAAAATCTCATTGGCATCGCACCAGTCCAATTTCATTAGGTGTATCGTTCTTGTATTTTGTCCTTTAGGCTACCATAATCAGAATAAGTCCTCAACCAAAAAGTACAAGCGCACCTTTAACGATCTATAAATTACGCCGTCAAAGTCGTTTCCTTTGACGTCTTTCTGACTGGATACTTCGTTATACATGAATCCGTCTTTCAATATTCTTGACACCAACTATCACGGGTTACCACTCCAATCACGAACGCCAAATCCCTATTATCTGTGGTAATTAATTTCGCTCAGTCCCTTGCATGCGTTTTTTAGATAATGTTGGAATCTGAAAAACTCCCTTTTACGGTGCCCAATAATATCCGAGTACTTCAAACACAATTTTCTTCAATCGACCATCGTAACAGAAATTTCATTAAATTTCTTAAGATTGTTAGGATTCTGGATTCAAAATCAAAAAATCGGAGAAGGAAAAATGTTAGTTCAATAAATAAAACATAAAATAATTTCGAACTCATAAGTTGTTTGTGTGTCTTTAGTAATTTTTAATCCCTTCGAACTCATGTGTGTCCAATATGAGTTGTTTGTGATTTGTAGTCCAATATGTGTGTCCTATAATTTCGAACTCATAGGTTATGGATTAATTTCTCTCATGATAGCTTAAGCAAATAATAGGAGGCAACAAAGCTACGAAATAACTAATATTTTCAACAAAGAGAAGCAATGTCTAACAAGTAGCAATTAAGCAAGGAAATACAAGTAAAGCATGTAACAGTTACGACAGGGAAAGAGACAATATGAGAAAAATGGGAAAGAAACATGCAAAAACAGATAAATTGGCGGCGCATAAGTACTCATCACCTCACATATATGCCGCTCTATGATAGCGGCACTACAAATCACAGAACATCAGTGCACTCAACAAACGGAGCAAATCACACTTGACACTTATATTTATTTGAAAAATAATGCAATAATGTAGAAGAGGGGATAGCTCGGGCTTATGTAAAACATTTCGAAGAGGATAAGTAGTTAACACACATATTGGGTGACACTGGAAATATGGTTTTAGCTTTCTAGATGCGCTTATTAATGCAAGTGCTAATTTTTGGAAAGCTTTTATGTTAAAAGTTGGGTTTAGGGTATTGTGTGAAATTTGGAGTGGGCATTTTTTAGACTTGTTAGAAATATTATAAGGAGGTTGTATATAAAATTTGAAGTAATTTAATGGAGATTTGGACTGGTTTTGAACAAGAATTACAACTGAAAATCGTGGAAGAAGTTCGTCTGCAAACACTTGTATAAAGGTGTATAAAAGTGTATAATAGTGTACAAGATGTGTTTATACACTCAGATACACTATTATAAAAGATTATACATAAATATACAAAAAAATTGACTTCGTCTTCTTCCTTGCGTCTTTTCTGAAATTTAACTAAAATCTTGCTCAAATCTACTCCAAATCACTTCAAATTTAAATTTTGAACTCCTTTGATATTTTCAATCAATTAGAACAACACTCAATCCAAACAACTAACAAACTCAAAAAACTCATTTTCGAAAGCAAAGCTTTGAATGGTCTTCAATGGTGGACTTCTACTCTTCAATTTTCTTACATTGCAAATAGGTGACACAAGAGGAGAAGCAGAGGTAGAGGATTAAATGTTATAGAGGCTCTCAAGATCTCAAAGAATGGCATTGAATGTCATGACCCAAACCGAAGGGCCGCGATGGGCACCCGGTGCCTTACTCAACCGAGTACCAATGTAACATATCTTTCTTATCATGTTATCATGAGTAAATGAGCCAGAAAACCCGTCATGAGATAATAAGAATAAAACATAAGAGACTACTCAACATATGAAGACCCAACATGATATACCAACTAATATATGTGACATACAGGCCTATAAGGCCGACATGACC